AAAGGGGATATATGAGTAACTTTTATAAAATTATACTTGATAGATACTATTAGAACTCTGCAGCACACAATGAAACTGGCAGGCAGTACTGACCTTTTAAAAAGCTAGTATACATGTGATGTCAGTCACTGGCTTAGCTAGCAATGCTAGCTAAATGGAACCTCAATGTTCAGAGGCAGTGTTATTAGTAGGTGAGGGCTTATTGCCTTAGTTGTAGGACTCCCCTGGATGCATTTGTCTGGCTACTGTAAGAAATGAGATGCTGGATTACATGGAGCTTTGTATGATCAGCAGCACTTTTCCTGTGTTAAAGAGCTGTTAGAGGCCAGATAAATAAATAAAGTGGATAAGGCAAAGGTGAAATAGTAGATGACAATTTCCTTATGGTTAAAGCACCAGGAAACTTTCTAAAGATTAATCAGTATTTCACTGTGCTTGTAAAAATTCTAATACTAATTCCTGTAGTGCCATGAAATGTTCTGCAGTTACATTTTTGTAATCAAAGGGAAAACTGACACTTTGGCTGGAATTACATCTTCACAGATCTGATTTGAACATTATGGCGATAAATCATGGGTTAATTAGCCCATGATTTGTTGTGATTGCCCACTATCACTATTCTGAATATACAAGCCTCCAGTTAGTTGAATCAGAGTTGCTCTATGACATCTGTGCCTGGATATAGGCAAAGCATAAGATAAACAATCCAAAGCTGTTTAACCACATTTAACACATATGGACTTGGATGTCAAGGAGCAGCCTCTAATTCAGCTGACTGGAGGCTGCATATGCAAACTGATGGTGGCATGTGCTTTGAGAAATTGTGAGTTAAATTGTGTGTGATTTATTGCCCTTATGTGCAAGGTGATACATGGTGTGAGAACCAGGAAAAACAAATCAGAATAGGTGGGTTCAGATGTCACACCCTAAAATAAGTCAGAATGGGTCGGTTGTTCAATCACAAACTCATGATGCACCCAACTAGATGAATGTGCCTATTGGTGGGGATGGAAGCAATGGAGAATTATCAGCTTCTTAGCAATGTGATCCTCTTATTTTTAAGTGTTTAACTAAAACTAATCAATTCTCCAGCCTCAACTCTCCAGACACTCAAGAAAGAGGAGATCTTACCTCCCCCCACAACTTTCACTCCTTTCACAATCATTGCACATGTGTGAATGTCCCTTTTATGTGTTTCCCAGCCTTTAAATTTGTGCACATAGTTACAACAGTCTTTTACCTGAATGAATATATTGCAACTAATTCAGTGCTGGCACCAGGAGTTCTTGCATTGCCCCTACCAAGGGTCCTATTCACTCTGTCCTATACAGCCACCTTGTATCAGGGAGATGTGTCCATATCCAATGAAGCACAGTAAATGCTCCACAAAGGAGCCATAAAATTGGAGTGGGGGAGTTAATATTTCCCTCTTCTGGAATAGCTGGCAACTGGGGGAAGTGTTGAAAAGGTGGAGGACACTGAGATGTATCATTTCAACACTTAAAAATGAGAGGATCAAATGGTCATGGAGAAGGTATTAACCTCCCCACTCTTTTTGGTGCAGTCACTCCTCTGGTGCTTCTGAATTGTACTAATGGAGTGCTCCTTCACCTTACCAGTATTTCACCTCCATTCCTTTGCAACTGTGGGCAAATTAGCCCGTATCTAGCCATGTCTGGTCAATTCTCCTTGTATATTACCTGCTCTATTTTACTGTTGCCTTTGACACTTGAAACACAGCAGACTATATCAAATAGCCATTAAGTGAACTCTAGCACAGTTGTGAAAGACTGGCAAAATTTAAGTTAAAAATTACAACCCTATCTAATGTCATTTTAATGAACATTTTTTTACACATTGTGAACAAACTATGGTCCTTCCAATGAACGGAAGCATCAAAGGAAGGGCAGTCACTGACAATGGAGGCAGCACAGTGAGATTGCAAAGAAAAACATGGGCCTTTTTTGTCATTCTTACCAAGTGGCTCTGTAGCTGATCCCAGCAATCCAAAATAAATGGGCTTTCCTAGATCTGGATGATACAACAACCAATCAAGTATTCTCAGAGTGGCTTGTTTGCAAAACTTAAGCCACCCTGCAAATAACGTACTGCATTTCTATCCATGACAACCCACCACAGGGAGTGAGCCATGGAGGGTTGTCGTGATGTACAGTGGATGGGACACAGAATACAGAAGGAAAGAAACTGAAAAGTCTGGTGCAGATTATGTACTGAAGAAACAGAATCCTGAAGTTAGGGTATGTGAAGAGTGATTTAAAAGGCAAAGAAAGCAGGGAAATGCTTTGTTAAAGAAGTGGTTCTGAAGAAACAACTTGCTTGGAATCAGGAGGAACTATATTCTATGTGCAGAGAGACATGAATACAAGGAAGCAGGAGAGATGTTAGCTAAACAAAGCATAATAAACAGTTGGTGGCAATACGAAGGAAATAAGAAGAGATGGAGACACAGATCTGAAGATAGGAGTGTCATAGTTCTTCTTGAGGAGTTCTCTTCTGAAGAACAGCTTGACTTACCTGGTTACAGAGATGCTAGTCTTCTGAGAAGGCAGAACAAGGAACCTAAGAAGGAAACATGCTGGCAATGGATCAGCAGGAGATGCATGCAGATCTTCCCTCTCAGACAGTGTACCAGTTTGCACACCAGACTAGTATAATTAACTGAAGCTAGCAGCAAAGGTGTATGCAGCCTACTCCTAGATAAAAAGTTGACTAATATGCCAGTAGTCCTGTTGGAAATGTTTGATCTTGCTTCTGCACCTCAAAACTTGTTCCTGACTCCTTGCTCTTGTCATTCTGACCTTTCATGTACAGGGTTTATGGACAAATTCTGTTCCTGAAAATGTCCTTTAGTAAAATTTGTATGTAAGTTGGATCACATGAATAATGATCACATGATGTATGTTTGTTTCAGTATACGTATATATTTTACCTTTCTATGTATATAAAACACTTAAGAAACACTTCTATATTCATTAAAACATCTTAAACACAATACAACATTGTAATAATGATAATAATGCACTACTAATAAAGTAACTATAGGTACTGGAGAAAGAGATAGACATATGGGTATGCTCAAGCTGACACCCAGAAGGAAAAGCTGTGAATCTCTTGGGAACTAGGTTGCCAGTGATGATGCATCACCAAACTCATTGCCAAACTCATTGTATCACATAGTTCCCTAGAGAAAGCTGTGACTATCTCTAGCAAATCCCTGTCTCTAGTGAAAAACCATGAATATCTCTAATGAAAAGCTGTGACTAAGCAGCCACTGATGACACATCACCAATAATGTTGCATAGTTCCCTAGAGATAGTCACAGCTTTTCACTAGAGATATTCATATAGGGTTTACAGCAGTCCACATACACATAAGTACAGGTTGTTCGTAACCCAGACATTCAAAACCTGGGGGATACCTGTACAAGTTTATGCATTTTACCTTCTTGGAGGATGACCTACTACCACTGCCTATCTCCTGGGCCTTGGCCAAATCAAGTTGTATTTTTACTTCCTCTAAAAGGAAGTTCATTTACTGTTCATTTTTTATATACACGGGTGCTTCCTATTTGTTTCTCCCTTTACATCTTCCCTCTTGGGTTCCTGACTGAGGAGCCTCTACATATCATATCTTTTTCCTACATGGTGGAAAAAGGTCTGGAGTTGGCTGACAAGACTGTTGCCATCTTGCTACTAGCTGCTCAGTGATGTGCTTTTTCTTGCCATAAATCCCTTGGATTAGGTAAACAGCATACTCTCAAGTCTCCTTTTCATCCTCAACAGATGAATAAAAAGAAAGAGTCAAAGACATGAATTAACTGAAAAGACAGAAATATCAACTCCTTCTGCTCTTAAGAACTCAAGAATAGCTGTGCTGGTTCAGTGCAAAGGCCCTGACCTGCTTATATGGCTGGCTTCTATTAGTGTCTAGATGATAAGCCAAGAACTCAGCCAACTATTTCATAGTCAAGTATAAGTAACACAATTCTAAGAACAATCCAATAGATGAGATATGATGGAGCCATGTGGCTAATGGAGTGCGCTAAAAATCCAATGAGTGAATGAACAAATAAACAAATGGTTGCAATTACCAGAACCTTCCAACGTGTAAGCCAAAAACCTTTTTGTGCTGCAAAAGTTAATTAAGCCAGTCGGCAGTCCAAGAATTCAGCAAAGGTTCGGTCCAAGGCTGTTCACAAAAATCAAGTTAGTGCAACAAGGACAAGGAGTCAGGAACAAGGTGCAGAAGTTGTTCAACCTTGTTCTTAACCAGTCAGACTGTTCCTTGTTTCATACCAGTCAGGCTGTTATCCAAATCTGCTAAATACTCCTGGTTGCAGTTGATTATCCTGACCTGGTGCTCTGTCTGACAGGAAAGACCTGCATGCATCTCCTCTCATACACTGCCAGCATATTCCCCCTCATGGATTCCTGCTTCTGCTTCCTCCTCAGAAACCAGGCCATCCTTGCAGTCAGGGGAGTCAAGTTCTTCAGATGCGAAATTCTCAAGCATGACAAAGAGAAGTCAAGGAGAGAGTAGGACAGGGGCTATGTAGGAAGCAGGAGGGAAGTGAATGGTAAAGAAAAGAAGACAATGTTTTACATCAAGAAATCAAGAGCACAGGCATATAGAGAGAAATTTTGCAGTTGCTCCTTGAATTGTCATTATAGTATTGTGACTTGATAATCCAAAGGAGACAAATTAGGCCAAAGCAGTTAGGGTAAGGAGGGAAAACTGAATTTCACATAACAGTTTGTACTAATCAGCCAATTCATTAGCTGCAGAAGTCTCATCAAATCTGTTTACTAATGCTATATTGTGACCTAGAGGGTGATCAACTGTCCATCCGTCCTTTAGGAGTGGCAGGTAGGTTCCCTAAATTGGTGAGCCACTATATATGGCCGATGGGGTGAATATAGATTTCATTTGATTTTCATGTAGGCCTGATGCACACTCTTATAAGTAATTTCACAACTTACCTCCAATTGCTATAAGCCTGTCCCCCCTCTGAAGATCAGCAGCTGCAGCAGCTGAGTTTGGTACAACAGTCTCAACAACTACATGCCCTGTTTCACCTTCCTTAGCTTGTACTTGGCGGAGAGTGAGTCCAACACCTGGTGAATTTCCTTTTATTAGTTCTACCTGAGAAGAAAGATAAATGTAAACAATTTGTTGTTGTTACCATTGTCGTCATTATCATTATCATCAGCATCTCTATACCACGCAACACCCAAAGCTTGAGAAGGCCACAACATAAAACTACAAACCACAATTACAGAACTTCTCTTATCAACAGCATTCAATTCTATAATCTACAGAATAAAATGTGCATGCCATATTATTTTTAAATGAAATTTTAATTATTTTGCTAACTGACAGGGATAATTAACCTAGAAATTAAATAACTAATATTTGTAAGGCACAAAATATGTCTTGCAATATGTGATATGCCTTGCTGGAATTAACCAATACAATGCTAGCTTCAAGTTGCATCCTATTGTTTGAATAGTTTTAGAACTATTATCCCCATCACATTATGTTCATCAAAAAAAACAAAAACAAAAAACTTTACTTGAAAATATTTGTGACCAAGTTTGCATAATCAAAATAAACTACAGTAGCTTAAAGAAGCCTTGGCATGTGCCAGGTGCTATTTCCCTAATTATCCACCTGGATGTGGCTTGTCTTGAAACCCAGGCTGCATGTCTTGCTGGGGGCAGAAAACAGCTCTCAATGTCACAACAGCCCATTTGAAGGGTACCCCAGGTTTGGATGACCAGAAAAACTGCAAAGGCAGGCTATTAGGTAAATGGTGCCCAGCAAACACTAGGAATTAAAACAGACCTTTGCAGCTTGTTTAATCATGCAAAACTGTGAACAAAAGTATATTTCAACTTTGCAGAAAGATATGCAGTTCACAAACTTAACTAATCCAATTCACAGCAAATATTTAAGTTTCACAAATATCTTATGCTGTATTGAAAGTCATCAAATAGCCTGCTTGCTCCAGTATTCATAGCCTTGATTAGCAATAGAACACAGCTAGTTGACAGAGACTCAGGCAGAAAATCCCATTCAGAAAACAAAACCAAAAATAATGCAGTTTCAAAATAATGAATCATTTATTACTGTTTGCTGCACTATTTCCCATTTCTTTTTAAAAAGCCATGTTATGTACTTACACGTGTGTTTAGCCTTCAGCTTATTAAAAATGAAATTGCAAACAGTTCTGAGGGAGTGGATGAAGGTAGAGGGCAAATATAGTACAACTGCTATGAGAATCAGACTGTTTCCTATATTTTCAGATGAAAATGGGGTTGTTTAGTGTGTTCTAGCTTGAAACCCCACAGAAGAAGTTTGACCAAAGAGTCAGAAAAAGATGTATATTTATAGTGAGCAGTGATGGTGTTAGATACTGGCCTTCTGCTTTGTGTGGGATTAAGCCAGTCTATAAGACTTAGAAAAGATCAATTTGCATTTTGGACAATGAAATACTTTATTTTTACTATCAGGATATTACTCACCACCACCACCACAATCTAATGCAGGCTTCTCTGTATTTTGGACTACAAGTCCCATCAGTTTCCCAAGCATGGCTAATGACTAGAGATCATTAGAGTTGAAGTACAAAATAAAGAGGGCATCCAAAACTGGGTATGGGTATAATACTGCCGCTCCTACTTTTGTTACTCTTGTATATCTATAATGGACTCACATGGAACAAGATGTTCCAGAAGAGTGTTTAGATGGAAATAGTTTAATACCTTATCTAAGAACTGAACACTTTCACCACTGGGGCTGCGGGTAGGGGAAGTAATGAAACTTGGTTAACATGCAAAATAATCACTAGTAGTCATATATGATTCTATAGGATACTAAGTGCACATGTAAAATATCATAGGTAAATACCACAATACATACAGACAAATATGAAAGTTGAATACTAGTGTAGCATAGTGATCAAGGGCACAACTGATGACCTGCAGGTCCCTGTCAAATTTCATTTTAGCAGAATGCACTTGAAAGGCCAAGACATTGACTTGGTTCACATAACTTTCCATCAAGGGGTACATTACCTGCAAACACTAAAACATGTAGCCACGTGTCATTATGAATATGTAATCCTGCCAAGGAACTGCCATGTTGTGAGAATGTGGCTGGTGGTAACTAAGGGATAAACAACCCTTGTATAAGTCATGGTGGCTGGATTCACACAACACAAGCGAATGATTTCCACCCCTCCCTCCGTGTGTGTGTTTGTGAGTGTAGATACACCTTACAGACATTCAGGCTCGTTGTGGTAACTCTCCTTCATCCCACCATATCCTTTGTCTGCTTGCTTCAGAAATCCCCATCTTGTACATGAGCAAGTGGGAAGGGCAAGAAACAGCTGGACATTGCTACAAAAAGGAGTGGTGCTGACCAATCAATTCTTCCTCTATATGAGCCAGTGGGAAGCCCTGGTGCATGAGTGAGTGAGAGGGTCAAAAAATCAGCTGGATGGAGGTGCTGAATGGTGGGAACACCTTTCAGCTGATTCTGCACTCACCCCCCTCCCCCATTTCTCATTGCTACTTGCCAGAGAGGCCTCTTCAACCCAGCACCCATGAAGCTGCCCAACTGATTCTTGCCCCTCCTACCTGAGCACAAGAGGGATGGCAGAGGGAATCAGCTGAACTGTACAGGCCCCATCCAAATGCCACCACCCAGCTTACTCTCATCCCTTCTGCTTAAGTGTGAAGAGTGATGGGGGGAATCAACTGAGTGGTACTTCTCCTTTTCCAGTGCCAACCAGTTATCACCTGTTGCTGCCCCAAAGCAGATCTTTAGGCCAGAAAGAGATTGTTGCTTCTGTTTGTAGTTTCTAAAAACCATGCTGGACTGAAATACCATGATGGCGTTTGTAGGACATGGCAAACCAACTTGTCCAAATCATGTCACTTGCACCTGCCCAGTGAATTAAATGATTTTAAGCATGTGCAGCCAAATCTAATGAAGAGCACTTTAAATTTAACAGACATTGTCATTATTACTGTACCAAACCCATACGTTAAGAGTAAATGCAACTGTCTGGGTGCAGCTATAGTTACTTCTTGTCAAGTAAATATTCATTAATTCATTTTTTAAAACAATTTTGAATTGAGACTAACATATGTACAGTTGCAAGTACCTAAATGGATTTATCTTGGAATCTGGTTTTAACAAATCATCTATCAGGTAGTTCAGCAGAAGCCCAGTGCAGCTGCAGAATCTGTGCCTACATTACAGCTTACTTTCTGCATTAAAATACTATCAGCTAAGAGAGTACTGTCCATAATCTTTCCCCTGGGGATGAAAGACAACAGGAATATGGAAATAGGTAGTGGGCTTTGATCAATAGCCAAAAGAGCAACAGAACATACAGCTGCATGGTCCTATTTCCACTCCTTGTCACTTCTGATCAAGAGGTTTCATGAAAGAGCTTAGGAAAGAGCTATAGTTCCATCTGCTTTGTACGCAGATGATCTAGAGTTCAATTTATGGGATTTCAGTTATGATCTTGGAAAGCTTCTGTCACTTGTAGTAGATTCTGATCAGTTTAAGGCAGCTCCATTTGTACAAACAAAGGTTTTTATTTTCACACACACTATCTTGAGCATGCCGGAAATAGCCTGTGCTCATTTTAGGATTGCAAAGCAGTAATTTTTCAGACCACTCAGAAATAACCAGTTCTTGTGACATGCAAGAAAAAAACTCTCTAGCAATTAGAATGAATTGCCCAGGTATTCAGAGTAAGTGGCAATTACAGGGGCAGAACAGAGAAGATAGAAAGAATTGCAGCAACAGGCAATCAGCATTTAAGAGGACAAGATTTACACCAGGTGAAAAAAAAAAGCGGGGGAGGGAGACAGCAGTTTAGATGCAGTCCTGTGGCTGCTCTTCCAAACACAGCAATTTAGCAGAATGAGGGTGTAGTTTCTGTTGAATTATTCATATTCACTTTTAGTTCTTATTAAAATCAGTTGTGATATCTTCGTAAGTCTTGAACAAATGGGAAAGAATGACGTTCTCCCTTCAAGGCTGATTATCTATTGATAGAAAAGTTTCCTTAGAATGGCACTTGAGCATGGAACAGTTAGTAGAAAAAAATTAGAGCAAAGGTCTAACATTAGACAGTAGCTGAAATTTGATCTTTAAAAAAACACCTCTGAGATTCTTTTTAAGTCAGAGTGATATAGGACAAGCAGTTTATATAACCAGGCTATTGTATACTATTTCTCAAGACTTGTTTTACAAACAAGTTAAAGTAATAAAGTCTTTGAAAAGGGAAATCATTGTGTGTTCGATTTTTTGAAGATTATACAACCTCCTTTTAGTAAAAAATAATTAGATAATCTTTTTGCTTTTAGAAACTGCATACAAATTAAATGACTATTGTTGACTGCATAACTTTTGCTACATATTTAAACAATTTAGTAATATGTATATTTCCATTTTAAAACATAAGCTGCTGTAAAACAGTTCCTCTTTTAAGACTATCCTTTTAATTCGGCTGTGTTCTCTCTCTTAATTGAGCAATAAAGTTATTAATTTCAATTAATTAATTGATTGTCAGCAGTCCCATTTCTTCAATACAAGTTCTTCCTCAAAGGATTTCCACTTATGCATTTGGATTAATACTGTCTTCCCTTGCTTGAGAGCTAATCAACATTTGGGTTGCAAATACTACTCAAAAACACTATAGCAGAGACATGAAATAATGTGCATACCAGAAAGGAGGATAGGTAGCACAACGTTCAAGAGTCACCAGGGAGAAGAATGCTTGCTTAAAAAAAAAAAGGAAGTCTTACCCAAAGGGGGGGGGGGGGAGCACACAGAAGGGACTACAAACGTGCTGAAGAGAGATGCAAAAGCAGACTAAAAGCAAAGCACAGTTTGAGGAGCATATCATTAACAACATAACATCAAGGCCAACATAAAGAATTCTTTAACTATATCAGAAGAAAGAAACCAGCTAAAGAAGCACATGGACCACTGGATGATAATGGAATTACAAGAGCACTAAAGGGGGACAATGAGATTGCAGAGAAGCTGAATGATTTTTTTCCCCTCGGTCTTCACAGCATAGGATGCAGAGCACAGGATGCACAAGGGATACCTGT